AATGTTCTCAATAGGATTGAGGTTAGGGTAGGATGGAGGCCACACCATAACTCTCCTTTTATCCCCATAACAGCCATTGATGCAGAGGTATTCTTTGCAGCATGAGATGGTGCATTTTCATGCATGAAGATGATTTTATTACGGAAAGCATAGTTTCTTCCTTCTGTATCAGAGAAGAAAGTGGTCAGTCATAAACTCCACATACTTTGCAGAGGTCATCTTTACACCTTCGGGGACCCTAAATGGGCCGACCCGCTCTGTTCCCATTATTCCAGCCCAAAACATGACTCCACCACCGCCTTGCTGACGTCGCAGCCTTGTTGGAACAGGGTGGCCGTCCACCAACCATCCACTACTCCATCCATCTGGACCATCCAGGGTTGCACGGCACTCATCAGTGAACAGGACTGTTTGAAAATTAGTCTTCATGTATTTTTCTGCCCAATGCAGCCGTTTCTGCTTGTGAGCATTGGTTATTGTTGGCTGAATAGAAGGTTTATGCACAGTTGCAAGACTCTTGAGGACTCTACACCTTGATGTCCGTGGGACTCCAGAGGCACCAGCAGCTTCAAATATCTGTTTGCTGCTATGTAATAGTATTTTAGCAGCTGCTCTCTTGATCCGATGCATGGATCTGGCAGAAATCTTCCTCAATGTGCCTTTATCTGCATGAACCCGTCTGTGCTCTGAATCAGCCACAAATCTCTTAATAGTGCGATGATCATGCTTAAGTTTTCGTGAAATATCTAATGTTTTCATACCTCGCCCAAGGCATTGAACTATTTCACTCTATTCGGCAGCAGAGAGATCCTTTTTTCCTCCCCATATTGCTTGAAAATGGTGCTCTGCTTAATAATGTGGAACACCCTCCTTTAGTAGTTTTTCCTTAAATTGGGCTCACCTGCCAATCTAATTATCACAGGTGTCCAAGATTGTTTTCAGTGATCAAAATAGCCCTGACACACAATGCCATCCATGAGTTAAACTGAAAAACAAAATATTTAATCTTTGTGACACATAAATAGAATTTGCATAATAATTTGAAACAGGGTGTGAAGCTCTGCTACAACCACTGAGCTGTTCTTGAGCTGTGTCCAAACTCACCATAGGGTGTGCATTTGTTAGTGGAGGGTCAGCAGGATTTATAAAAACTATCAGCAGTACTCTGCAAAAATAATGACAGCTTGTCCACTTCTACCTCCATCTCAAGCACAGCTTTAAATGATTAATGTGTGTCTGCTTCTATTGCTGTGTGTCTCTATGTAGCATGCACACATGCTCAGTCTCGTGGCTCGTACAATTTTCATCAAGCATCTGTTCACCAAACTGAGCGCGTTAACAAGGCCCCTAATATGGCCTAACGGATCGCACAGCAGGGAGTTACCTGGGTCCTACTCCTCGCTCATCCAACAGATTTGCAATCCTCACACATACGGTGAGAATTGTCTCCCCATTCTCGCAGTGTGAATAATTAATGTAAGGCGAGAGGCGGGGGTGCTTCCCAAGCAGGGATAGGTCATCAACAGCAGATGTATAATTGTTATCATTAAGAAACATTTGGAGATACCTTTGAGAAACCGTATAAAAATATGGCATTGTAGGATTCCCTGGAGGATTCTGGATAACGCTTTTATTGGATTCACTTTTGAACTAGTACTGAGGATGATTTTTACTGAGATTGTTAACCTGTGTAAGAAGCTCTGTATTTAACATCATTAGGGCAGACCTTCCTCAATTACACTCAGGGCTTACAGTAGAAGGTCAGATAGTTTTTTTTTTTTTTTTTTTTTTTTTCTTCCTTTAAATAATGTTTATTGACGGTTCTAATTTTCTATCATGTATCATCAAAGCAGTAAGATGGCAATATTTTTATTGTGCGTTTAACAATGTATAAAGACTTCTAATTACTTTATTACAACAAATTATTTATATCCCCCTCAAACTGGTAATATGTTATTTTCAAGGGGGAAAACGTAGGCTCCATTCACCCCTGAGCAGAGCTATTTTCAGGCTTTTTTTATTTGAGCTTTTTTTGCGCATTTTTAGAAGTGTATTAATGTAAAGGCGTCATACATCTTCAAGGGTTTTGTTTAGCCAATAGAAAGCGCTAGGGGGAGGAGAGGTGGAGGAGATTAGGGGTGGAGAGCTGCTGTTTGAGCAGAAAACGAGCGACAAAACTCTCATGTTGCACATTTTCAGGCATTTCCATTGAAGTCTATTGGGCCCAAAATGCCTGTGATCTGCCTGAAAGATGCTCATGTACTTTTTTAAGAGACAGGCTTTTTGCAACAGAGTATTCAGATGTGAACAGGGGCCTTGGAATATTTATTTTATTTCAGGTACTTATATAGCGCCGTCAATTTCCGCAGTGCTTTACATATATATTGTACATTCACATCAGTTTCTAACCCTCAAGGGGCGTGCAATCTAAGGTCCCTAACTCACATTCATACATACGCATACTAGGGCCAATTTAGACAGGATCCAATTAACCTACCAGCATGTCTTTGGAGTGTGGGAGGAAACCGGAGTACCCTGAGGAAACCCACGCAGGCACAGGGAGAACATGCAAAGTCCAGGCAGGTGGTGCCGTTGCTGGGATTCGAACCAACGACCCTAGTATTGCCAGGCGGAAGTGCTAACCATTTAGCCACTGTGCTGCCCACATGAATGGGATTTGGCTTGCTGAGTGTTTTTGTAGTGACAAGCTTTGAGCAGAAAATTGCTCAAGTGTGAACCTAGTCTAAAGCAGAAGTTTTTCTTTCGAAAGGCTGCTATAAATTTTCTGAAACTAGCTAAGATTTTAAATTTGTGGAATAACACTGGATCCCTAGGATGACCAGATTAGTATAGAGATTGTGGTGGTGTTTGGATGGCTGTCTAGATTCCTGGCCAGCAGCTTCTCCCCATACAAAAATTTCCAGAGTGTCCTTGTTTTGGAGGTGAACGGATCTGATGCTGAAGTGCCATATAGAGAATGAATTGTCCAGGTTACATAGGATAAAGACGTTGTCACAGGGCCATTAGGTACTCCAACCAACTGCTGTTGTACTCTGCACTTTCCTGTCCGCCACATGTCATTCCCCACCTTTAAGCGCTGATGAAGGGGCTGTTTTCTGGCCCTTGAAGCACATTGGTTTTGTGACCATGTCTTTTCACCTAATGCCTGTTATTCTTTAATGTCCAGGTTACATTTATTCTATGTAAACCCAAAATCTCACATTCCTGATCTGTGCCTTCTGTGCCATGTACTTGTATGAAAAAGTATCCTGTTCTCTGTGTTGCTTCCTTTGTATGAAATCCCTGGTGATCCTGACAGTCCCTCTGCTTTCCTATTGAATATTGACTAGACTAGGCATGAGAGCACAACCTGGTCAATTTTGTGGTTGTGTAGGGAACTCCATGTGCTCTCCTCCAAAAGATCTGGCTGCTCACACTCCCCCCCTTTACTGCACAGCTTTTCACTGTGATGTTCTGTGCTCTTCGGTTTCTCCTCACCCAGTTCTCTGTTTTCAGCTACATAAGGAGCTTAGAGGGAATGTGATCACTTATAAGACATAATATATACATATTGTTATTTATATCTATACATAAACGTTTTGCCTTTCATTTTTATTTTAAATGGAATAGGTTATTTTACAAGGTAAAGGTTCACATATAATTTAATTCTTGGTGTGGCACTTCATTCTCAGATCTTTATAACCATTGTAAACATACACGGTGTCTGTAGATTTCTTATCCCCTGTTTGTATTGTGAGGTTATGTTCTAGATCCAGATGGATGGAGTAGTGGATGGTTGGTGGACGGTCACCCTGTTCCAACAAGGCTGCGACGTCAGCAAGGCGGTGGTGGAGTCATGTTTTGGGCCGGAATCATGGGAACAGAGCTGGTCGGCCCATTTAGGGTCCCAGAAGGTGTAAAGATGACCTCTGCAAAGTATGTGGAGTTTATGACTGACCACTATCTTCCCTGGTACAGAAGGAAGAACTATGCTTTCCGTAATAAAATCATCTTCATGCATGACAATGCACCATCTCATGGCCTTCAAGTGTTGAGAAACTGCAAGTCCCATGAGGCTTTGCAAGACTCTGGCAGCCACAGGCAAGACTCCCAGAGGCAGAGGCATGATGGGACTTGTAGTACTTCAACAGCTGGAGGGCCATAGTTTGGAGACCCCTGTTCTAGAACACAAGTGTCAAACTGGCAGCCCTCCAACTGTTGTGGAACTACAAGTCCCATGAGCCATTGCACACCTGACAGTTACAAACATGACTCCCATAGGGAGAGGCATGATGCGACTTGCAGTTCCGCAACAGCTGGTGGGCCGTCGGTTTAACACCCCTGTTCTAGAAGTTTGTAGATGACTTGTGTTAAAAATTCAGGGATTCTGAGCTGTGACTTTTGGTTTATTACAGTGACATAAAAGCACACAAATGCAGATTTCCTTAAAAATGTTAATGTGAGTACCTGAATTTTGAGTTGTCTTCAGCCTCTAGTAGTCCTGTGTACTATAATGTGGGAGAGGGAGGGGCAGCGTTAGGTACTATATATACATGCTGACATTGGGAGAGAGCAGAGTGATCAGATGGGTCAGATTTTGCTGTTTCACTAGCCAATCACAGACCGGGGTTACAAATGTGACCTTTTTTTTTAGTTTCATTTTTTGTAATGACCTGCAGTAAACAAAAAGGTTATGTCACCAGGCTTCCCAGCATAGCCTAGCAGTACAGAAATAAATCTCAGGATTCATTGGACAGAAATAAAATCAAATTTCAATTTATCCAGCCCTTGTAAATCTATTACAGCTGTGTGATCATATGTTTACTGGGAGTTCAGCTTTAAAGTGATACCAAACCCACAACAGTAAAAGTCTATGTATACAGTAAAGCATGCTTGTTATACTCACTGTGGAACCTAAGGGGTTAATCCTCCACATTGTGTAAAAAGGATGTTTGATCCTGTCTTCTCTGATCCTCCCCTTCTTCCACAGCCCCCAATCCATCTGCTGATTGAACAGAGCCTTGGGTGCAAGCTGCACATGCTCAGTTTGGTGTGTATTCCTAGAGATAATTTTTTTTTTTCTTGGGAGAGTACATGTGATCAGAACAGGGCCAATTAGTGCTGTCCAGACAGAGGGTCAGGGATCCAGCAGCCTCATAGGGGAGAATGAAAACTCCTCCTACAAGCTTTAACCAGTGCACTGCTGGACACTGATAGAAATCACAAGACTGCTCTAACTGCTGATGAGAAAAGGTATGTAGTAGTTTATAATTACTAAAATATTTGCACTTCCATGTTCTGTGTACTGTGGGAGACCAGATCTCGTGAATGCAGGGTCCTGAGTTTAGTAACACACTTATGCAGGCCATAGATGGGTCGAAAATCGTCCGAAAAAGATTTTTGCACCGTTAATGGGTTAATTGGTCGGGCCGTTTTTCTGGATTTTGTCAGATTTTTTTGATCGGTAAAGTTGGGAAAAAATCGGCCGATTTTGCCGATCGTCTGATTTTCGCGGCAGTGATGGGCAAATCGGCTGATCTTTTTACCGATAAAAAATTTGCGCATAAGCCGTGACCTGCAAGAAAAAGAAGAGGAAGAAGAATTCCAGTCCGCTATTATATTTGACATTAAAAAGTATTGTGGTTGCAACAATGTATCTATTTGTATCCGAAAAAACCATCTGTATCCGAAATGGATACAAATAGATACAATGTTGCAACCGCAATACTTTTTAATGTCAAATATAATAGCGGGGCTCTCTGCAAGGACAGAAGTAATTAAATGCCGGCCATAGACAGGAAGAAAATCGGACGATTTTTTTTTATTGTTGGTGATAACGTCGGCCTATTGAACGACCGATGTTTCGTTTTTTTTGGGTTTTTTAACGGCCGCTTTTCTCCCCGTCTATGGCCTGCATAACTCTGTCAAAGGGATACCTGGGATCCAATGCTTTCTATGGCACTGGGGCTTCTCATGAGATTTCTGCTAGGCCACTCCTTCTTTACACCTAATTTGAAGCTGGCATGACTTCCTGGGTCAGTGTCCATAGAGCCAAGCAAGTAAGAATTTGCAATGAAGTTTACGAAACTTTGAGTGAATGGTCTGTCATTTCTTCTCAACTAAATTGGAGTTTCACTTTAACTGAGTGAGTGATTGTACGTGTTTCCGGGAGTTGCTCCTGAAAATGTAGGGTTATATACCAGCAATGAGATTTTTTTTCTCTGGGGCTTTGATATATTGAAGAATGTGTTTTTTTGTATTAAAGACCAAGATAGAATTAGTGTAGATGAGATATATATATATATATATATATATATCTATATCTATCATAAATATATACCCAGATGTGGTCTTCGCTTTGACCCTGTATAATATATCAAGCTGTGTGTAATCACTCCCAGCCTGCACGGCCTCCGGAGTATCTGGCACCACGGTGCAAATTCTCAGTATTACGTTTAGTTTCTGTCAGTGAGAAACATGACCTCTCTGCTCTTACGTATCAATCAAGGAGCTGGAACAATTAGTCCACACTTTCTATGATTCGCACGTACTCTTCCTGTTCGCGTTAAATTTTATTTTCTGTACGAGTGCCAAGTTTTAATTAAACTACCTAAATGGCCTAACAACTTATGAATCTATAATAACATCTTCAGCAACAATATTGTCTGCAATCCAGACAGAAAATTCATCACCTGGAAACTGGCTGAAAACCAGGGTCATGTGATGAGGAGCCGTGCATTGTGCAACTGCCACGGAACTGGGAGATGGGGTCATCTAGAGCCCTTTGCCAAGAAATGCATTGTTTGGGAGCTTGCCAGAGAGCGCTTGAACAAGGCTTCATTTGCATGAAACTGAGAAAGGGAAATTGTCTGTTATTCATCATTGGAGACAAGACCAAGTTTTGGGAAAGACTGCTGGCACTAAACTTTAAAATCGATGCCGTATACATCTAGCTAGATTACCAAACTGATCAGTCGTCTTTTTATTAGTATTCCAGATAATTCATTGGAAAATGATCAGCTAAACAAAAATTGTGCGATGCTCCACACCCAAAAAGGTGTAGAAGTTGATTTTGGAAGCCGTAGGGCAGCCTATTCAAGAGAATGGGCTGCCCTCTGTGGGACCTGTGCAAATGCTCCAAAAACGTGCAAAACCAGGGGGAACCGTGCGTTCCCACTAAGTGAAGTGTGAATGGGGCCAAACTTATAAGATCTCTATTTGTGCGATTTAGATGTTATGCAAACACATCATATAAAACATCCACAGTGCACCTTGTAGGTAGACACTATTTGCAGAGGCCGTAAAGGTTGCCATAGAATGCTTGAATTTTGGCCAATTCCTTCTGTAAGTGGGTTACTTTCAGTGAAACCATGCGGTTTATTACTAAAGCTGGAGAGTCCCAAAATCAGGCCCACTTCTGCATAGAAACCAATTAGCTTCTAACCTCAGCTTGTTCAATGAAGCTTTGGCAATGAAACCTGGAAGCTGATTGGTTTCTATGCAGAAGGGAGTCTGATTTTGCACTCTCCAGCTTTAGTAAATAAACCCCCATGTGTCTAAAGCTGGCCATGGATGATTTTTTTTTTTTTCTTTTTTAAATCCGATTACTCCATCCACACAATTGAAGTTGATGGAGGAATCCCCCCATTGGGGTATTATGTTCTAACAGTGGAACCCTGCAGCTGATGATCAGCATATTCTGACAGTACAGTCACTGATCGACTAAAGTTTTCCAACATTCCCATTCGAGAGACGTTGATGTAATGATCGGCTTCTTTTGTACAGGAGTTGCTACACATGGATCTAAATTCAGCTGCCCCCTGCTGAACCTGCCGAATTTCGATTTGTTTGGCCAGCTTAACTGTCAGTAGGTATAGACTCATTGTCAGGTGAAGTTTATATGCAACTCTCCCTTTCTGAGCCTATTGGTTTTTAAAGAAATTTGTGGCCTTTTTGGCCTAAGAGGTGTAGGGTTTGAGGCTATTCGTGGAATGGATGTAAGAATTTGCACAAAACTTCAGCTATCTCTATTTCTATATTCACTAATTGCTTGGATTTGCTGTTTTTATTCAAGGTGACCTCCTGGTTATGAATTTGTTCATAATAAAATTGCATAATTTTGACTTGCCCAGATTTGTGGCAAGTATACTTTAAGGCAGAAGTCCTTCCAGAGTGGTGGGCATAGAGCTGGCGGGGAACAGCTGCAGCATCAGAGTGATGCTACAGCATGGAGGTAAGTATGCATATTTTTGTTTTTATAGAATCCTCGAATTCTCTTTTTTAAGCTCTGATTAAAAGGTAAACTGAGTGGATTTTTTAGTGGTTGTACATGAAGCTGTCCTTGGACAGCAGTAAGGCGGCATTCATACTATAGCGTTTCCTGAACAAGTAAAAATCACAATTACGAAATGCACAAAGAACCACATTACAATTGTGGAGTCATTTGCTGTTAATGGCACCTCAAACACAGCAAAATGCGCATTTTAAAAAGCGTGCCATGCTCAAAGCTCAGAAAAGGGGCCAGAGCTACTTTCCTGCATTTGTTGTGCATAGAGCAGTCCATTGATATAAATATGCCTCCCTAGGCTTGTAGGGAGTCATCGTGAAAAAACAGCGCATATGCTTGAAGTCTGCCGTTGTGTGCCTTAGTGTGAATGTGGCCTTAAGCCCCATGTACACGGGACACTTCTGAACGATGGAAACTGACTGCTGGAAAACGTAGGTTAAAAAACATCTGTTTAGATGCATTTGCATAATGCGTTTATGTGCGATTATGCGTGTTTGTGTTTAGAAGCGGTTTTTAAAGATAAGCACAGGAGAACCTCCCAAATGCCCAGAATGCACTGAAAAGTGGTAAATTATTAACTATTTCAGACTGTTTCAGAGAAATACAGAGAGTAGAAGCAGAGACAGCAGTATGTGTTGAAATTACCTTAGGTTTGAGTTGCTCATTAACATTTCTTTTGTTTCCAAGGGTGGGAAAAGTGTCTGCTGGAGGGAGTCACTAAGGCCACCTGGCAGGGGGTCTTCATGAGGAATTTGAGGTGTAAATGGTCATTAACATATCTTTTGTTTCCAAGGGTGGGGAGAGGTGTGAGGTGTGAATTGGTCATTACCATGTGTGACAAGGTTGGTGGAAACATCCTGTGTTCAGTGTTTTGTCTATTTGAGTACCTTGAAAATGCTTTACATGCATTTTTCATGCTGAAAAAAGGCTCTGGACAGCATCGGGAACTGGAAGAGTTAAAAAAAAAAAAAATGTTGCAAACGCTTATAAACACGATTTTCCATGTTTAGCCTCGTTTACAAGCATTTTGCGTTTGAAATGCTGATAAAATCGACTGCTGAACGCAAATTTTCTGCGTTCAAAAAAACGACTGTAAACGCAAATGCCTGTAAACTACTGCAAACAAAGACGTGTACATGGACACATAGGAAAACATTAGGGAGAGTTCAGGGGCTGCTGAAAAAAAAAAAAAACGCTGAACAGCTCCTAAACACGAGTTTATCAGCTGCAGTGTTCCTGAGCCCTTATAGTTTTCTGGTTTTTGATTTTTTTTTTTTGTTTTGTTTTACTTTTCTAGTTCAAATGTTGGTGATAAGCTTCCTAAAATTGACCCCCCAATGTAATATATTGCAGTTTACTAGTATATAGATGTATTAGTTTTGTTTAGTCAGTCCTCCCCCCTCCCCTATATTCACATGATGATCCTGCCAATATCACTTTCTGTACTTGGGTGACACCACTCACTGTACTGTCTATGAAGAGGAGAAACATTGTCACTCTAGGACAGGAGTGTTGGATACCTTTCAGTCTCCCCTCTTCTCCATGGCATAGGGGGAGGTGTTTTGTAGTCCACAGACATTGCTGGGAACAATGTAACTGATAGGTGTGCAGTGAGAGAGGCAGGTAGCACAAGAAGTTGTGAGCTCACTGGATTTCTGGCAGGTTTAACAAGTATTTATTTTTTGCATTTTTATGAAAAGATATAATAAAACTTTCAATGGTGCATTTACTAGACTAAAGGGAACAAATGTGAAAGCCACCACTGTTTGCTCCACACACTCGTCTTGTGAACCTTGCCATAAAAATGAAAGATGTGCTGATGTAGTAAAGGGTTTTGAAAGAACAAAGCAGAGTGACAGGGGGACGGTGCAGCTGTTTGAAATGAGCACTTAAAGGTGAATTATGCAGGACCTGGTCGCCCACCTCCTCGTTAAGTATGCCAGGATTCTGGATACCTTGGCAAAAAAAAAAAGCTTTCAAGGGAAGATCTGTCATCCATGTGTGAAAGTCGCACACCTTTTTGATTCATCATACAATAGAAAGTGCTTGAAAGGTGATGACTAATCAGCTG